CTCTGTTCCTATGATGCTGCTTGGCCTGCTGTGTTCATCCAGCCCTGCACCTTGTTGTCCCTTGATGAGGATAATGTTGTTGATGGGTGTACATGGGCTTGCAAAAGATAAAGTGCTGAGCAACAGACTTGTAAGCAAAATTAAAGTTCATGGAATAAAAGAGACAGTAGCAACTTGGCTGAGTAACAAGAAAAAGATTAGTGGTTGACAATTACTTTTTGGACTGGAGGAACATTTATTTTGGAGTTTCTCAAGGGTAGATGTTAGTCCTCCTGCTCTTCCCAATATAGGTTAATGGCCCAGACCTTCATTTGCAAATTTCTAAACAATATAAAACTTTGAAGTATTGTTAATTGTGAGAATTAGTGCAGAGGACATAGATAGGTTGGTGGAACGGGCAAACAAGTGTCCAAAAAAATTTAATACAGAACATTAAATGATAATTTTGTTGGGAAGAATATAAAGAAACAAAGCAAAAAGGTTACAAATCTAAAGGGGATACAAAACAGAGTAAATTGGGCATATGTGCATAAATCATTGAAGGTGGAAAAACAGGTTGAGAGGGTAGTTAATAAAGCATCTTGGGCTTTATCAATAAGAGCACAGAGTACAAAAGCACTTTCGGAAGGAATGTAAAACTGAGAGAGGATCAGAAAAGATTTATGAGGGGATTCCAGAAAGCAGGACCTTCCACTAAGTGCACAGATTGGAAAAGTTGGAACTGCTTTCTTTGGAGAAGGGAAGGTTAACAGGCAATTTGCTTGAGATATTCAAAATCATGGATACAGTAGATGAGGAGAAACTGCTCCCATTGACGAAAGGATCAAGAACCAGAGGACAAAGATTTAAGGTAACTGGTTTAAACAAAAATATTAACACCAGAAGAAATGTTTTCACACAGCAAATGGTTGGAAACTTGGGTTCAGTTAGCTCAGTTGGCTCATTAGCTGGTTTGTGATGCAGACTGAGTCCAACAGTCTGGGTTCAATCCACATCAGTTAATGTTACTGAGAAGGCCCTGCCTTCTCAATCTTGTCCCTTGTCTGAGGCGTGGTGGCCCTCAAGTTAAACTCACCACCCAGTCATCTCTCTCTAAATACAGAGCAGCCTTATGGGACTATGATGATTGGGATCTAGAATGTACTGCCTGGGAGTGTGGTGGAGGTGTTCAAGAGGGAATTATTTTCTTATTTATAAAAGTAAAATGTGCACAACTATGGGTGACTCTAGGTGAATTATTCCTTTTGGGAATCAGCACAAGCTAGATGGGCCAAATGGCCTCATTCTGTGCTATGACCATTATATGATTCAAATAACTCTCAAAAATTTCTTGTTAATCAAGTTGAAAAACTGTGGGATGGCTAGGCCTGTAGATTAATTCAAATGAGCAAAGCCGTTCAGCCAAGTAATTTTAACTTATTAAGACCAAATTAAATCTAAAGCTATAACTCTGATGCACTGAATGCCAAAAGAACGATGCTAATAATAGACAAAAAACCCCAAACACTTTGATTCATTCACTTTTATAACAAGGCCCAGCTGACTACTGATAAGGAACAACATCTCCTGACTAGGTTGCTGAATATTCAGAAGGAAATGGTCAATTAGTACAGTGCTAGGTACGTTGAGTTATGTATTCAATTGAATAATCTATTCACAATATAACATTGAGACAAAGATTTCCATTAACATTCTTCTTGCAAAATAAGTCAATGATTTTACGTTTGTTTAAATCCTTGTAAAGTACTGTATCTAGGTTACTGCTATAAATCAGTGTTTATATGTACTAGTGCATTCATATTGCCACAATGAACAAAGAGCATGAGATTGTCCACGTTGCAAAGATAATAGAAAGAAAAATATTCAAGATTCACGGTGTTAAGCATTTATAAACACATTCACCAGTGCTGTGAACGGATTGCAAATTAATTCAATCCTTTGATTTCCCCAGTTTTTTAAGATGTAGTGACCATACCACATACTGAAATTAGGGATGCCAAAGGAGGACAAAAATGCATTTGAGGTGAATTGGAGGTGACGTACCCTTATGCTTCCAAGTCCCAGACCTAAAAGAGATTAATGCAATGAAGTCATGTCTCTTAATTGTGCAATAAATCAGGAAGCTGCCCGGGCATCAAGAGTTAATTAGACTAGTTCTTTAATTGCAGCTGTTTTAATTGGCAATCTGTGGCACCCACAATGGAACCATTACGTAGTGCAGAAGGCCAATAGGGGATTCTTGGTAGTACAGTATTATGCTTATTTCCAATCCCTTTCCTTCAGTTTGCCTAAATTTATATTTTCTGTAAGGATTATTTTATAAATGAGCAATGAGTTAAACGTGGGTAATTTATTTTTATTTTTATTTATGGCAGGTGGTGCAGAAAAATGTATGATAATAAGGTAGGAGTTCAGTGCTTGCTCCAACCATCAAACAATTCCAAAGTAATAGAATTTGAACTCCCGCGACATTAAACAGCTGCTGTGGTTTAATGTTTTGATGGGCAAGGATTATTTCAAATTTAAGGCAACGCGTTGGGTTTAGAAGATTGGTCGGCCGTATGCGTGGAATCGTCATTACAGGAGGAGACTCACTGAGTGCCTCATTTGATTGTCACCTCAAGTTTTTAAGTAAGCAATCCCCAGCAACTATTAATGAGGCACAGTGAAAGTACAAACGTACAGTTCACATTTCATAGCGTTTGGTCTTTGTGCCACCCTAATCCCTCTCGACCACTCCTCAATGATATGCCACATTGTAATATCTGTGTGATGTTCAACTCGACACTTGAGGGACTGTAAACAACTGCTCAGGAGGAAAAAAAAGCTCATTGATTAGTCACCATGTGTACCGGAAATTACCGCTCTGTCCCAAATGACCGCGCTCTCCTATTTACCAACCTCACACAGGCAACAATATCAACCTAGGCAATCTTCTTAATGAGTTTAAGTTCTCTTTACTCGAAAATAATCCAAGAGAATCATTACGATTCTCACCAGAGCTACGATTAAATGGGATCACTTTCTGGGGGACACTGTGAATGTTCATCTCGACAGTTAGCTGAGGGTTTTAGGTTACAACTGGATTTAGTTCAGAATGATTTACACAATGCTGAAACTAAGCCCCAAACTTTTACTTTCTGAACCAACGCTGCCCAGGAAACGATTCAGGAAAACGTGCTATCTTTAAGTAATTGGAACTTATTTTTCACATCCCCACATGCAACATTAACGCAAGTAACACACTTACCCTTGTTCCTCCATCATCTCGTGGAGCTCCATGCATTTGAGCTCGACTCTTCTTTTTCGCTCGTGATCTAGGATTTCTCGGTTGGCCTTTTTGACCACCAAAGTCTGTTCCATTTTCTTGGAGTCCTCTTCGGTGTTGTACTCTGCGCCACTGTCCGTCCTTTGCCGGACTGTAGCCGGGTTCCGCTGGCCGCAACCATTTGTACAGCTTTCCCGAGGAGAGAGCGAACCATCGCCGTTATTGTGCATGGTGGTGACGAGAGAATTCCCACTTCAACTCTGCAAGGGACATAGAGAGAGAGAATAAACAGGACTTCAGTGTCATTCAATCCACTATCTGATCATCCTAAACGACCGGTCTGGACAGGAAGAAGGGCCGATTACGCCCGATCCTTACGAGTGCAATATTTCGAGAGCGTGGCTACGATTTTATTTTAGCTAAACCCCTGTCAGTAGGGAAGACAGTGCTGAAGGTATTGGATTCAGTTAAATCTGAGCCGTTTTATAAAACGTGATGCAATATGTGGATACCATCGTACAACACTAATCCCAGGGCTGTTGAGGACCTGCTAATTTACGGAGTGCAATTCTACCGGTTATTAATATGCATGGACAGATTACAATGTTAAATCTCAATAATGCCACCGCTCAGATCTAAACTCCACTGGTCAAATATGTGAAAAACCCAGGTCCGCATGTAACTCTTTCTAACATTTCCCACAGGCACGCTCACCAAATATTAACAGCCAATAATCTAGAAAGTCTATTACCATTCGCAGTCCCAACTTTAATCAGTCCACTGCTGGACAACGATTAAGTCCAAATATTCACAAGACGTATTACTATGCGAGGCGCTCACCACAGCAAGGCCGGCTGGAGTACTGCTGTTCAATGATATGCAGTTAGAAGCTGTCTTGCTGTTTTACCGTCCACGGCGCCGAAAGCCACAACTCTTGGTACGATGTTGCTGTACAGGGTCCTGGAATATACTGCATCCGGCGCTATGTTACTGTCCGCGGTGCTTAACGCGAAGCTCCGCGCACAGTGTCGCTGTCCGTGGTGTCGGACGCTGGGAGTCTCCAACACCTTACTTTTCAGCGCCGCTGAAGGCAATTGTGGTGAAGAATTGATGTCCACGGTGCTGAAAGCGGGAGCTCTTGCTGCTGGATTTGCTCCCACAGTGTTGGTAAGACTTTGATCACAAGGTGCAAGTTTCTAAGGAGCTGCAGTATCTCGATCTCACCATTTGTGGTGCAATAACGCGCGACGCTGTACAGGGTGCTGAAACTGACGGACTGCTCATAATGATGACCAGCGAACATCCCATAGATTCTGATGTTTCACTGATCCCTTTGGAAGTCTGTCACGTCAAACGCTTGGTCAGATGGGACAGGCTTACAACATCTGCACATAGTGTGTCTGCCTGTTGGGCAATAGCTCCAGATCTATGGAATATCACGGGAGAGAAGCTCAAAATGTGACAGTTTAAATATTGAAAAGCAGGCTTGCTTTGCCAGCTGTTTCCTGTAATACAACCCGCTGACTGCCACTAACACCTCATGTATGTAAGTACAGCTATCAGCACAGTGCACAGTTCTCAACTCACCTAACAGAAATGAGATCTAATTTGTTTGTATAGTACAAGCAGCCAGTCCTAGGCTTGTGCTATAATTAGAGATATGTTGCATCACTCCCATACTCTGAAATGACCAACTTAAAAATGTGGGTAAGATAATACAAGAAATGAAATTTGTAACTCCAATATTAGCTAAAAAGGATTTCTGTATGAGATTTGATGGTAATATAACTGACAATCTGCTCCTTTTAAAAAAAAATCTAGATTTAAATCCTAAAAGCATAAAAGCTTGGATTTATACTGTAATGTATGCAAGAATAAATCATCTACAAGCTAACTTGTCACCAAGTAAACCGCAATCATGTGTTTTATAGTGAAAGTCAATCTGAGGAAGCAAATAGAAGTCTGGAAATGCATGACATATCGTTTCAACATCTCTAACTGAAATGAAAATGCCGTTTTCAATCCCCTGGTTTATCCACATTATTTGGAACAAAGGCCAAGGATCAAGAATGCAATTTCTTACAGTCCATTCCCATTGCATCACTCCAGATCTCAAAGTGCAGGGAAACTAATGAGCTGTTCATGTAGTTTGTCTTGTCTGCTTTCTCCACTGAATCCCACTCCTGTCACCTACAGCAAGACATTGTTTAACTTTTTCGATCTTTCTAGCCACTTCATTCGTTATGACTGAGTTGGTAATGTACTTGACACTGAAACAATACTGCAGACTGAGTGAGCGAATACTCAGAAAGCATAGCCGATTAAGGGGGTTTTAGTCAAAATCCACAGGGGCACAGTGGCAAGACTGAATTTTAAAAGACGCTTGCTACTGGGTTGCCATTTGTCTGCTTGATTTGGATTAAAGAGTTAAAGTTCCCACTTTCCTTTGCCTTTCAATCAGTTTGATAATTTATTTTTCATAATACAAACCTGGTCCAACTTATGACTATAAGTGCTGAAATCAAACCTCCAACAAGTAAACCTCTGCAAATCGGGAGATATTTGGACCTTAATCAACCATGTGTTATTGTGTATTACATATTAACTTAGTTTTCTGCAACAATGTTGTGTCTTTAATTGAGAACAAAACAATTCGCATGGTGAAACTATGACGCAGAATTGGGGCAGAAACAGGTCACTGAAAACGTTCTCGTTTGTGAAATCAGTTTTCACCTGTCTGCGGAAGGCAATTCACAAATTATGAACCCATGTAGGGCAGCCTGACTAGCAACACACCCTGCAGCTTAGCACTGAACTCAGTTTCCCCACACCTCACCTCTGGGAATGCATTTGTATTGAATTTCAATACAGATTATCAATGGTAAATTATTGATAGCAAAGAGGGAAGGTGTGACACCTTTCATCGCTTGAAGATGATCAAGCATGCACAGCCACCTCTACACTGGTTCTCATGTATATTAGATGAGGCACGTTATCAACATTTGAAGCAGACAGGTCAGGTTCTGTGTGAATTGCATTATACCCAGTGTCCTCTCATTGAAATAGGCAACATTTCAAATACTGTTGCAGTTCCCTCACCTGGTCTTTCTTCAATGTAAGCGGGAGAAGATGGAATTCAAGTTGAGAAGCAACTTGGCCTCATTCCATAACTACACATTTAAGTCACAACCCTGATCGGTATAAAATGCATGATGTATTCCCAGCTGTATTCTACTTAATGAAAACAAGTAAAAGAAACACTACAATTTATATGTTGCTTTTCACCCCTACCAGACCTTTTACAGCACTTTACAGCCAATGAAGTACATTTAAAGTGTAGCCAGCATTATAATATAGGAAATACAGTAGCCAAATTGTAAACAACATCCCACAAACCATTGAATATGTCTTTTTTTACCCCTGTGATGTTAACTGAGGGGTCAATATTGGCTAGGACACCAGTGACAACTCATTAGCTCTTCTTTGCAATGAGATCTTTCACACCTACACCAACAAGCAGATGGGACCTCGCTTTAATCGCATTCAAAATGCAGCACCCTTGAGAGTGCAGCACTCCCTCACTACTGCACTACAGTGTGCATTTTTTTTGTTGTAGTTAAGAATCAAGGAATGAAAGGGACAATGGCAGCAGGATTACATAGATGGTTGAGTGACAAGAAATGGAAACTAATGGCAGATAATTTTTTTTTGGACTGCAGGAGAACAAAGTGGGGTTTCTCATGGTCCAATACTAGGCCCAGTGCTTTTTCTTGATGTATATTGATGACCTAGAGTTGGGTGTTTATAGAATGATTACAAATGTGCAGATGACCTATATCAAAAGAATTGTGAACTTGAGAAGAATTGTAATAGACTTCAAGTGGACAAAGTCTTGCTAGTGCAATTTAATGAAGTGTAAAGTTATATCGTATGCATGGAGCAAATCAAACATAAATGGTCTTGAAGGTGGTTCAATAACAGGAACTTTTTAAAATTCCTTTCTTCAATCTCTTGACTCTCTTCTCCTCCCTTAAGATTCTGCTCAAAATCCACCGCTCTGATCAAGATTTTCATAAAGCCTCCAAATTGCTGCTTTTTTGTCCCAGCATGTAGTTTAACCTAATCATGGCTTTGTGAAACTACGAGGCATGCAAAACTCCACTGAACATAATTCCATGTTCAAGATGCCAAAGAAATGAAAATTGTTTGTTGTTGTAACACAGACGATGCCATGCTCCAGAAAGTAGACTTTTTTTCCAATTTTGACCAAAGTCAATAAGCAGCAGCATATTAGAGCAAATCAGAGTAAACTGCCACTTTAATATTGCTACTATTAGAAGATAGTGCAATGTACTATTGAGAGTTGTGTTTGGAATGCTATTGGGATATTTTACCAGTCAAAACAAGGTTTCTAATTGAAGCAGAGGCTGAACCTACCAAATATTAGTGTCAATTTTGACACATTTCCTGGAGGATTTCCTACACAAGTTCTAATGAGATTTATTGTACTATTTTCTCACCCTCATCTCATTACCTATGCACCATGCCTTCATGGTGTCCTACTCATCATATTATCCTACAGGCAGAAGTACTGGTTACTGAGGGGATCTCGTGATTCCTGGTGTTAGCACCATCTTTAAAGCCCAGCTATTCACCGGGTCAAGCACTTTCAACCCACCGTCGCCCTGAATAGTTTGTTTTTTTATGCATCCTGGACATGTCAAACAGAGGGTAATTGACACCCCCTTTGCCAATGGTGACCAGGAGGACCTGCTGGACAGCGGATGCATAAGGTTGCTCCTCATGGGGCATACCTGCAGATACTAGTGACTGATGCAGGTCCGGAGATGCAAGCAGTGAGCTGGGGTCATCAGGTTACTGCTTTGACTTTCATGCTGGGAATTGTTGCAGTCTAGTTTCTATGCAACTTTCTTGCTAATGTTCATGTCGTTCAGGGCTGGGAAGGTTTTGCCTTGAAACTTTAATGCTGAGTTTAGATTTGTGATGTTGAATCATGCCTACCTTAAATTAGGTAGGGCAGCCTAAGTTGATTTAATTTGGTGCACTTATAGCCAGCAGGCTATGAAGGTTTTTCTCTCTTTTTTTTAAGGCAGAGATGTTAGCCCTTATACTGTAAATTGGTTCAAGCCCCTAGAAAAATCTGATAAGGTATTTTGTAAAATTATGTTCTGCTTTTGCATGCTAATATACAAAGAGCTCAATTTTAAGGCAAAAGACACAAGTCAACATCATTGTTCATCCAGTTTGCCAAGAACCTGTTTATTCAGATTCTCAACATTTGAAAGATCATGATATACTTAAGGATTGCCCAAATGATGCCTGTATACAGTGGTGGCCTGCAATCCTGGTTCTGTCTTTGCAGAACAGCTCTCCTGAACTTTATTCACTCAAGTATTTTGAAGAACTAGTGATTAAATGTAATCACATGATGACCTTATAGAGATTTATAAAATCATGAGTTGCACCGATAAGGTGGTTAGCAAGGGTCTTTTCCCTATCATGGGGGAGTACAAAACTAGGGGACATATTTTCAAGGTGAGAGGAGAAAGTTTTTAAAAGAACATGAGGAGCAACATTTTTACACAGAGTGGTTCATGTGTGTAATGAACTGCCAGCGGAAGTGGTGGATGCAGGTACAGTTACAGCGTTTAAAAGACAGTTGGATAAGTACATGAATAAGAAAGGTTTGGAGGGCTATGGGCCAAAAGCAGGCAAGTGGGACTGGTTTAATTTGGGAACATGGTCAGCGTGGGCTAGTTGGACCAAAGGGTCTGTTTCCATGTTGTATGATTCTCTCTCTGAAACAGTTCTAAA